GTTTCAAAAGTGTTTTAAAGGTAAGCCAGATGTGGTTGTGTATGCCTGTAATCCCAGAGTTTTCTAGGCTGAAGCAGAGGATCACAAGTTGGAGGCCAACCTGAGCTACATATAGAGTCCTTATGTTAGCCATACCCACCTCAAAAAACAAAAACAAAAACAAAAACAAAAAAACAGTGCACTAAAGGTTCTAGACAGAACAATTAGCCAAAAGAAAAAAAAGGACTTCCAAACTGGAAAGAAGTGTAAGTATGTCTCTTTGCAGATGACAAGATCGTACATAGAGAAAACCTTTAACAAGATTCCTAGATACAATATCAACATATAAAACTCAATTGCATTTCTGAACACTACAAATGAACAATTTGAAAATGAAATCAGAAAGCAATTCTCTTTAATCAACACAAAAAACAATGGTTTTGGAATTAACATAGTTCTTTTTTGTTGTTGTTTTGAGACATGGTCTCTGTATTATGTAGCCTTAGCTGTCTAAGAACTCTCTATGTAGACCAGGCTGGCCTAGAACTCACAGAGATCCACCTGCCTCTGCCTTCCAGTGCTGAGATTAAAGGCATGTGCTACCTACCACACTGAGCACACAGGTTCATTTGTACAAAACATTTTTTTCCTTTTTTTTTTTTTTAAAAAAAAAAAACAAGGACTTTCTGTATGGTATTGGATGTTTCAGAACTCGATATGTAGATCAAGCTGGCCTGGAACTTAGAGATCTGCCAGTTTCTACCTCTCAAGTGCTGGGATTAAAGGCATGGGCCACTATACTCAGTTAAACACATATTTTTAAAAGAAAATACACAACCCATAAAAGGGGAAACATATTTTCAAATCACAAGCCCAAGAATGACTAGCATATTACAACTCAATTGTAGGAAGACAAGTGATTTTAAAATGAGCAATGTATTTAAGCAGACTTTTTTTTTCCAGAGAAAATATCCCATCAACCCATAAAAACATGAAATGATGTTTGACACTATTATCCTCTAGGAAAATGCTAATGAAAACCCACAAATAGATGCTATCATACAAGTGATAAGATTGCTATAATCAGAGATAGTATCAGTAAGGATGTTGCTGGGGGGATGTTGAATTGTACAGCTCCCTTGAATAGTTTCACAGAACTTCACAAAGTTAAATATAGAGTAAATATATGATACAGAAATTCTGTTCTGAGTTCAATACTTAAAGAGAATTGAAAACATGGACATACAAAAACTGATGCTCGTCGCAGCATTATTCCTAAAAGCCAAACAGTATAAACAACACAAATGCCATCTGACACCACCCAACCACCTTCCCACGTCTTACCCTGGGATTTCTATCTAGAAGTCGGTCTGGAGTAGCTTCTTTTCTTTTGGCGTAGAATGTTAGTTAGCATAGCCTGATTTCTGTTGACATCCCAGTGATGAACTTCACTCATTAGGAGTTGAGTGGAGAGGGGCTGGGTGTGGTGGCACATGCCTTTAATCCCAGCACTCTGGCAGAAGCAGGTGGCTCTCTGTGCTAGGCTCGCCTGACCTACGAATCGAGTTTCAGGTCAACCAGGACTACATAGAGCAGTGGTTCTCAACCTTCCTAATGCTTCAACCCTTTAATACAGTTCCTTGTGTTATGATGACCCCCAACTACAAATTATTTTCGTTTCTACTTCATAACTAATTTTGCTACTGTTGTGAATTGTAATGTAAATATCTTTTGGAGGTAAAGATTTGTCAAAGAGTTGAGACCCACAGGTTGGGAACTTCTGTCATAAAGACCCTGTCTCAAAATAAATTAAATAAATAAATAAATAAATAAATAAATAAATAAATAAATAGCGAGAGAGGAGAAGGAAGGGGAGAGAGGGAGGGAGAGAGAGAATGAATGAATGAATGAATGAATGAATGAATGAATGAATGAATGAATGAATGAAGAATTGGGTACAGAGGACAGAGGTTGGTTCCCAACATCTTGGTTGAAGCTAAGACTCTAGAGTCTCTTAGGATCAGTATCAGGATGTACTTGGAAAGCTGCCCAAAGGAACAGGACAGGAGAGAATCTTTGAAGATAGTTCTATTAGGTCCTAATTGACGATTGTGCGAATAAGGGCCACAGAGGTCACACACTAAAGTGGAGTGTGTTTTAGTTAGAGCGGTTTGCAGGATACCGCTGAGAGAAGAGGCGGATTCGCCTGTGTGTAGTTTAACCGGCCCAATCACACCACGGTTTTGGTTTCCAGTCGACCCTGCAAAATGAAAGGACCAGGGTAGGGCGGGCAGAACAAGAGGAACTACATTTCCCAGCAGGCCGTGGGGGTCTGGGACTCCGGCCATTCCTGCCGGTCCGAGTCGAGTCACAACTCTGGTCTCCGGTCCCGGGGTGGCAGAAGCATGGAAGTCGACGGCCGGTGGCGGAGCCTGCCTAGCGGGCCAAGCCTAAAGCATTTGACCGACCCTTCGTACGCGATTCCTCCGGAGCAGCAAAAGGCGGCGTTGCAGGACCTGACGCGGGCGCACGTGGACTCCTTCAACTACGCGGTGCTGGAGGGGCTGAGCCACGCGGTGCAGGTGAGCGGCGCGACCCGGGCTCCTGAGCCGCCCGAGTGGGGTCCCGAGGGTCCCAGAGGTTGGAGGAGGTGGCCGGGAGGCCGCAGTATGGCCTCAAGTAGTGACGCTCACTCACTGTGCACTGCTTTGGTAGTTCGGAAAGAAAAACGCTTCGTTGCGACTTGTAGCGGAGTAGTGTAGGAAAAGATGTATTTGTGATTTCTGGCTTTATGTGTGAGTACGAACCCTGGTTTTGTGCGGTCTGTTTCAGGGTACTGTGAGATGAGAGAGAGGAGGTGATCTATTTGGGACTGTTTTCTGCCTGCCCATTCACAGCGCTCACCTTTTGCCACCTGAACTTTCACGTTTTAAAACTACCTCAGAAGGTTCCAAGCTGAGTCAGACAGACTGCAGCAAGGTCATCCTTCAGTTTCCTTCTCTTAAAGTTTTCTTTTGGGGGAGGGGGGCGGTTCAAGACAAGAGTTTCTCTGTGTAGCCCTGGCTATCCTGGAACTCACTCTGTAGACGAGGCTAGCCTCGAACTCACAGATCCTCTGCCTCTGCCTCTGGAGTGCTGGGATTAAAGGCGTGCGCCACCTCCGCCGGGCTTTCTTCCCTTAGGGTTTTTAAGAGAAAGATTGGCTACTCTTCTGAGTTAGGCATGCTGAGGAAGATTAAAAAGTCCTAGGGATCAATCTAACAATGGTACCAAAGTTCAGGTAAGGACGATGGAGGGAAGTCTCTTTTTGTTAGCATCCTTAGTCTTTCCTGGCGCTAGGCTTTGAGAGTAAGAACATGCCGGTTCCCCTGCTATATCTCAGGTTTGAGTGCCCCTCGGGGTTGTTGGTTGTGTAGAGGAAGCAGACACCAGCAGAGAGTCAATGCCAATACTCTCGAGAACTGCCCGAAAATGTACTGAGTCAGGAGCAGGAGGGAAGTGAGATTAATCCAGGTGTTTAGAAAGCTCAGCGTTAGATAAAGTCAAGGGAAGAGAATGGATCGTTCCCTCCAAGGGGAGGTTAGGTCCAAGGAGAGCCATGTATGCAGTGGACACTACCCTGAGGTTTCGTTGCTGAGCAACCGTGTTGTGAGAGATAGGGATGGAGATGCATTGGAGAGCTTTGACTGCCAGACTGATATTCAAAATTATGGGAGCCATTTAGAACTCTTTGAATTGCCAGACTTCAGCCTGAGGGTATAAAATGTGCAAAGCTGGACATGCAGGATGGCTCCGAGAGCAGCAGTTCTTCTCTTTGTATAACTGTGCAGAGAAGGTAGACTGGCTCAGCCTTTTCCCTGTCTGTAGAGCCTGCTGCACAATCAGAAACATAGGACATCATCACAGAGGCCCTTAATGAGCGCATTATGGTTAAGTAGTTGGTGAAGTCACCAACCAGTTAGTTGTAGCTTTAGTTGTCCTTTTAGATGTGTTGCCTTGGCATGATAGACACCTGTGAGTGTAGAGCGTGTGATTTCAAAGAGCCTTAGCTTCTGAAAAGCGCCTTGAACAGTGCAAATGGTTTAGCAGCGTGAATTGCCTTTCAGGCCATACCTCCCTTTGAATTTGCTTTCAAAGATGAGCGCATCTCTCTTACTATTGTGGACGCTGTCATCAGTCCGCCGTCGGTGCCCAAAGGGACCATCTGCAAAGAGCTCAGTGTTTATCCAGCCGAGTGCCGGGGCCGGAGGAGCACCTACCGCGGGAAGCTGACGGTGAGCATTGGGGACACGAAGTGGCTGTCCCTGCGCAATTCTGAGACTCTGTTTTCTTAGTGTTGCCACTTAAGGAATTGTAAATTCTGAATCTAAAACATGAAATCAATTCACTGTAGCCTTCTTCCTTCTTTTAAAACACCCATCTGTGGGGCTGGAGAGAAGGCTCAGTGGTTGAATACACTGACTGTTCTTTTAGGGGACCAGGATTTGGTTCCCAGCACCATATGGTGGCTCACAGCTGCCAGCCGTTCCAGTTCCAGCAGATCTAATGCCCTCTTCTGGCCTCCACTGGCACTAGACACATACCTGGTACACAGACGTACGTGCAGGCAAAACCTCCATACACATAAAGTAAAAATAAATACACCTAATTTTATTTTTTTAAATATTCACTTGTTCTTGCAGGTCCAGATAGTTTATTTTTTCTTTTGTTTTCGTATAGGCCGACATCAGCTGGGCAGTGAATGGCGTCCCCAAAGGGATCATTAAACAGTTTCTCGGCTATGTTCCCATCATGGTCAAGTCTAAGCTTTGCAACTTGTACAACCTTCCTCCTCAGGCCCTCATTGAGCACCATGAGGAGGCAGAGGTGAGTGCAGGGGCCCAGGCCGTGGGGAAGCAGGAAGCTTGCCAACGGAAGTCAGCTTTCCTGACTTCTGATTTCTAGAGCTGTCGTCTGGAGCGTTGATACTGGGTCTGAGTACTGTGCGTGCCTCTTCCGTGTACTGAGGGAGGCAGTGTGGAGGGCAGCCAGACATTAAAAAATGTTATTGTTTGGGGCAGTGTACTAGGTTTTTCCCCCCGGAAACCTTTTTCTTTTTCCTTTTCCTTCCCTCTTCCTCTTCCTGCTTCCCTTTCCTTCTTTCTATTTCCTCTTCCTGAGCATGGAACCCTGGACTTCTGCTCATGTGAGACATAAGTGTGCCACCAGGCTACACTCCCAACCCAAATTTTCTTCTCTTTTATTACCTTCCTTCCTTTCTTTTTGTGGGGTGGAGTGAGTCTTGCTCTGTGGCCTTGGCTGGCCTGTAACTCACTGTGTACATCAATCAGTCTGGCCTTCAACCCCCAGAGAGATCCATCTTAATCTGCTCCCCCCCACACACACACATAAAGTGCTGGGATTAAAGATGTGTACCACCAAGCCTGGTTGTTTCTTTATTGTGTGGGGGTTGGGGGGCAGGGGGTGCTTTAGTAACATGGCCCATGTGTAGAGGTCAAAGGGTCAGCGGACAGATGTGAGGAGTTGGTTCTCCTTCCATCCTTTGCCCGATGGGCCAGCTTTCTGGTGCTAGTTAGCTGGATTATACATGTTCAGAGGCATACTTAGAAAAGTATTATAGGAACTGCCTGTTTTACTGATGTAAAACCCCCTGGGGTTATTGAATGACCCATGTCCCATTTTCTTTGGTTTCTTCAGTGGTGTGAGTCGGCTCCGGGCTACTGAGCTGGAATGAGGGTGGGCAGCTTTGGCCTGTTTTTAGGGGAGACTGTTATGCCTTGGTGTCAGGTCAGGATGTGACACTCAGCCGTTCATTTATCAGCTGTGGGGTCTTTGGAGAATTTAAGCTGCCCCAAGCCTCAGTTTCTTCTGGAACAAACAGGCAGGCCCATGCTTGGGAGGAGTAAGTGCCTCGTTAGCAGAGCATCAGCAGGATGTGCTTATTGGCCATCAGGCAGTTAGCAAATACTCTTCATTATTAAACACATTTTCCTGTATTTATCTAGTCTAGATTTCTAGTTAGCAAAGCTTTCACACACACACACACACACACCCCACACACACCTTTTATTTTAACTTACCTTTTTTTTTTTTTAAAGATTTATTTATTTATTATGTATACAGAAGAGGGTGCCAGATCTCATTACAGATGGTTGTGAGCCACCATGTGGGTGCTGGGAATTGAACTCGGAACCTCTGGAAGGGCAGTCGGTGCTCTTAACCTCTGAGCCATCTCTCCAGCCCTTAACTTACCATTTTTATCTTTAGATTTTGGAATAAGTTTTGTTTAAATGGTGCTTGGAAATTGAAATACTTTGGGACAGAAAGACAAGTTTGACTGGGTCTGCCTGGTTGGCAGGGGTGGCGCTGTTTTCTCGCCCTCCATTTCCTGTGTGGGATCCCATTGTGTATCTGACAAGTCTTTCTGAAGCCTGGACTGTTTCCAGAGACCAGGTGTCTGTTTCACCAGTGTACCTCTTCTGGGGTTGGCAATCCATGGGGCTAGAAATAGCTTCGTGTTTACTTAGCCATATACTTTTGTTTAACAGATGATAACCCCTGTCTTTGGCAGGAAATGGGAGGTTATTTTATAATCAATGGCATTGAAAAAGTCATCCGAATGTTGATTATGCCTCGGAGAAATTTCCCCATCGCGATGATAAGACCCAAGTGGAAAGGTAGAGGGCTTGGCTACACTCATTTCGGTAAGTTTTGGTGAAACCATTTTTTTTAAGTAGATATAACTATACATAATAACCTTTTTTGGGGGGTGGTGGTGCAGGGGGCTGTCGAGACAGGGTTTCTTTGTGTAGCCTTTGCTGTCTTGGAACTCACTCTGTAGACCAGACTGCCTCAAACTTCGCCTGCGTCTGCCTCCGCAGTGCTGAGATTAAAGGTGTGTGCCACCACTGCCTGGCTAACTGTATGCAATCTTTAATGAGTTTCTCTTACATGACTTTTGTTTGTTTTGCCGTTAAGTGTTTCTGTGAGATTCAGGGCGGTGTTGGTAGCGGGAAGTGTTGATCAAAGCATGAACTTACAGGCCAAGTACAGGGCTGGGAGGTGGTTCAGTGGGAAAGTGCTCTCTACAGAAGGTGAGGAATTGAGTTCCCATCACCTCCATTTAAAAACAATAACGGAAGGATATGGCAGTGCACATCTCCTCCTAGCACTGGAGTGGAGGGGGCAGGTGGACAGGGCTTCCAGCCTTTTAGTCAAGAAGGAAGGTCCAGGTTCAGTGAGAGACCCTGTCTCAAAAGAAGCAAAGTGGAGAAGCGACTGAGGAAAACATCTGGATGACAGTCTCTGGCCTCTCCCTGTGCGTGCATGGGAGAGTAACACACACACACACACACACACTCTCTCTCTCTCTCTCTCTCTCTCTCTCTCTCTCTCTCTCTCTCTCCACCTGTGCCTGCAAGGGAGCGAGTACTCCCACCACACATGTGTGAACACACAGACATATATACAATCTAATGCTAGTGTACGCCACTGTAATATCATTAATAATACTGTATTGCTTATTTGAAATTTGGAAAATGGAGATTTTTAAGTGTCTTGATCTTACATGTACATACACACACAGTTGGTAACTATATGTGGTAATTGAAGGTTTTTTTTTTTTTTTAAATAAGATTTATTCATTTATTATGTATACAGTATTCTGCCTGCACATATCCCTGCAGGCCAGAAGAGGGCACCTGATCTCATTACAGATGGTTGTGAGCCACCATTTGGTTGCTGGGAATTGAACTCAGGACCTCTGGAAGAGCAGGGGTGCTCTTAACCCCTGAGCTATTTTGCCAGCCCCGGTAATTGATGTTTTAATCAATTTGATTATGGTAATTGTTATGTAATACATGGATGTTTCCTAATAAACCTGTAGTAAATTGAAAGTACTGTGCATTAAAAATGCACTTAGAGGGGCTGAAGAGAAGGCTCAGCAGTTAAAGAGCATCTATTTTTCTTCCAGAGAACTTGAGTTCAATCCCCAGCATCCATGTTGGGCAGCTCACAATTGCCTGTAGCTCCAGCTCCAGAGGACCTGACATCTCTGGCCTCTGGTCATCTGCACACATGGGAACACACATACACACACACACACACAACTTAAAATAAATAAATTTGTTTTAATTTTTTTAAAAAAATTAAAGGCATGGTATGTTACATCTTTAATCCCAGCACTTAGGAGGCAGAGACAGGTGGATCTCTGAGTCTGAGGCCAGCCTGGGCTACACTGAATTCCAGGACAGGATAGCCAGTGCTACATAAACCTATCTCAAAAAAAAAAAAAGGAAAAAAAAAGAAGTGTACTTAGAGGCAAGGACTGGTTTGGTTTGGTGATAGAATGCTTTGTAGGCGGAGTTTTCCTGTCTCCCAGATGCTCCCAAATAAACATACTGAGGCTTACATTAATTACAAATGCTAGACTGATAGCTCAGGCTTATTACTAAATAGCTCTTACAACTTAAATTAACCCATTTCTGTTCATCTGCGTTCTGCCACGTGCCTTTTGCCTTTATCCCATTTTGTGTGTCCGACTCCTTCTGCATCTGGCTGATGGCTCCTCTCACCCCGCCCTTCTTCCTCCTGGCATTCTCTCTGTCTAAGGCCGTCTCCCCCAGTCTCTTCCTGCCCAGCTATCCACCAATCAGCTTTTTACTAACAATGAGAGCAATGCACATTTACAGGGTACAGAGATTGTTCCCCAGCAGCGCTTGCCTAACCTGCAGAAGTTTCTGGGCTCATTGCTTGACACCACACATAACAATGCACTCAGTGCAGTAACCTGCAAACGTCACCATCATGCTGGGGGCCTTGGCTAATCTTAACAAGTGATTTGGCTTTGATTATGGTGGTAAAATGGTCAGATGGAAAATGAAACAGGCCATGATTCCTTGCCATTCCTTTGAATAGGGATTTCAATGCACTGTGTGAGAGAAGAGCATTCTGCTGTCAATATGAACCTTCACTATGTGGAGAATGGCACGGTGATGTTGAACTTTATTTACCGGAAAGAGCTGTTTTTCCTTCCTTTGGGATTTGCGCTTAAGGTGAGATGGGGTGAATATCTATCTGTCTTTGATATGAATAGGCTCCTTGGAGCTGTGTCCTGTAGATGTGTGGGTGATTTCTTTTTGTTCAAGTACATGTACATGTATGTTACCCAAGCTTTTGGGGAGTCGATGAGACTGGAGGTTGCAAGTTCGAGGCCACCTAGGGTAACATACCAAGACCCTGTCTCCCCCGACCCCCACCATAAACAAAACCAAACCATACATGCTATACTAATTAGTCCCTGCTCCATTCTTAAAATCAGTTGCTTGAAATATCAACATTTCCTCAGAGTCTCTGGAGATGTAGAATTAGAGTAGCTTGACTGCATAGGTCATAGGTCACTGTGAAGTATTTGGAGGTCCTGCTGGGCTGGTGAGATGGCTCCCCCTGCCATGCAAGGCTGACAGCCTGAATTAGCCCCCAGAACCCCCAGTGGAAGGGGAACCTGGCTCCCCAAACGTGTCCTCTCACCTTCTTATGTGTGCGTGGCTTGTATACACCTGCATGCACACGCACGCACGCACGCACGCACGCACGTGCACGAGCGCGCACACACACACTCCCACTCTCACATAAAGAATTATAATTTTTAAAATAAACGAAGTGCTACAGTCACTTGGATTAACCAGGACCCAGTTCCGAGTTGCTGACTCCCTTGGTGGCCCTTGGTCTCAGTTCCTCTTCCTCCTGGAAGTCAACCCAGAGAATGAGGTAGAGGGGGCAGTCTGTTTATGACCTAGCCTTGGGAATCTGGCATCTCCTTTTAGCCATATTTTGGTCAGATAGGATAGCCCTAATTCAGATCGAGAGGAGACAATTCCATTTTTAAATACCCAGAAATTGGGTATTAAAGTCATTGGGACTTTGATGTTTGGTATAAAAAGAATGTTTTGTTTTGGAGGGCTAGTTTTGCTTGGGCATTAGAAATTATTAGAGGGGAGGATTGTGTCTAAGTGAATTAAACCTTTGGTAGTTGTTTAAAATGAAACTTTAAAAAAATTTTTTTTTTCTATTTCAGGCTCTTGTGAGCTTTTCCGATTATCAGATTTTCCAGGAGCTCATCAAAGGCAAAGAGGAAGACTCTTTCTTTAAGAATTCTGTTTCTCAGATGTTGAGGATTGTGATGGAAGAGGGTTGCTCCACGCAGAAGCAGGTCCTTAACTATCTGGGTGAACGCTTCAGAGTGAAGCTCAATCTTCCCGACTGGTACCCGAACGAGGAAGCGGCCAAGTTCCTGTTCAAGTATGTGTGCCTGGGGGGTGGGGGGATGGCTTCGTGCCGAGGAAGTGAGCCTGGGTAGGATGCTGGTCCTAGCCAGGAGGGCAGCTTTGCTTCTTTTATTATGCATTAATTGCAGATTTGCTACAGTGTCCAAGTAAGACAGTGGACACCGGAGGTCACTAATGTTGACATTTTGTTAGTTACGGTGATCACTTTGTCTCTACATAGATACACATTTCCTCTCTGTATCTTTGACAGTGGCAGGCAACATGCTGCTGAATTTCCCTGTAGCAATGACTCTGTCTTACATAACCGCTGTATTAAAGAGCGTGGTTCCAGACCACCCTAGTATTAGGAGCCAAGCACTTGAGATGTGGCCAGTGCAGCTGAGAAAATGAAGTCTTATTTAACTGAACAGGAGTAACTACAGGTGGTTACTAATTGCTGCCATCTTGCTGAGCACAGCTCCAGACTTGGTGGCGGGATTCTGTTACTGTTGCCAGTGAAGGTGGGAAGCAATTTGGGGAGTAAGGGATGTTCAGTAAACGTGAAACAGGCACCTTGGTCAGTAGGGAGCTAGACGGAGCGAGCAGAAGGCTTTAAGTTTTTTTCTTTTTCAGTGAGTGCATCTGTATCCACTTGAAATCCGATACTGAGAAGTTTTATCTGCTTTGTCTTATGACCCGGAAGCTCTTTGCTTTGGCCAGAGGAGAGTGCATGGAGGACAACCCTGATAGTTTAGTGAATCAAGAAGTCCTTACGCCTGGTCAGCTCTTCCTGATGTTTCTGAAGGTGAGTGCTTTCTGCAGGCGTGGGGCCACTTGGGTGGGGTGGGTGGACACAAGTATGCTCTGCATGTTGATATTTCCTAGTTTGGGCATTTTACATCATCTCCCTTTTGTTTAGCAGTGAGGAACTGAATCAAAACTCCAGCTTATACCAGGTCCAGATTTCTGTGGGTCACCTGTATGATTGTGATTTATGTTTCCATGTAAAACCTGAGCTTCTCAAATAAGAGATAGTGGGTTTTTTTTTTTTTCTGCGACTTAGTTTTCTTTCTTTTAATTTTTATTTATTTATTTTTTTCAAGACAGGGTTTCTCTCTGTAGCCCTGGCTGTCCTGAACTTACTCAGTAGACCAGGCTGGCCTCCAACTCACAGAGATCTGCCTGCCTCTTCTTCCTAAGTGCTGGGATTAAAGATGCGTGTCAGCACCGCCCAGCTGACTTAGTGTTCTTAATATGATTTCAGTTAATGGATTTCTTCAGTTGAATCTGTTTTCCTCCAAATGATAAAACTTCACTCCTTATAGCTCAACAAACAAACAAACAAATCCTTCTATTATAAACACATGCAGCGTATTTTCCTCTCCTCTGTTCTTGGACACCTGGGCTGGTTCATAGCTTAGCTACTGTAAGCAGTGCTGCATTGGTGTGTAAACATTAGTGTGCAAGAATCTTTGTGATACGTTGACTTAATTCTTCGGGGCCACACAGGAGTGATGGGTCTATTTTGAACATTCTGAGGAACCGTCATACTGACTTCCATAATGGCAGAGCTAGTTCACGTTCTGTGTGTGTGACACCCAGCAGTGTGTCCGACGGGTTCCCTTCTGTCTGCATCCTCTCCGTCGTGTTTTTATTTCTTGATGACGGCCATCCTGACGGGTTAGGATAGGATCTCACTGTTGTTTCCATTTGCATTTCCCTGATGACTGGTGATGTTGACCATTTCTTTTCTTTCTTTCTTTCTTTTTTTTTTTAAAGATTTATTTATTTATTGCGTATACAGTGTTCTGCCTGCATGTTTGCCTGCTGGCCAAAAGAGGGCACCAGATCTCATGACAGATGGTTGTGAGCCACCATGTGGTTGCTGGGAATTGAACTCAGGACCTCTGGAAGAGCAGCCAGTGCTCTTAACCTCTGAGCCATCTCTCCAGCGGGGGCCCCCTCCCCATTTTTTTTGACCATTTCTTAATATGTTGATTACACATTTGTACTCCATTTTCTGAAAACCATCTCCTCATTTAGCTCATTTATGGGTTGGATTGTTGGACTTTAGAAAAAAAAAGTTTGTGTGCATTATGTGTGTGTGCTTGTTCTTGTGTATGTGCGTGTATTTGAGCATTTTAAAAATTTATTTATTTTTATTTTATTTGCATTGGTGTTTTGCCTGCATGTATGTCTATGTGAGGGTGTCAGATCTTGAAGTTACAGACAGTTGTTATCTGCCGTGTGGGTGCTGGGAATTGAACCCCAGACCTCTGGAAGAGCAGTCAATGCTCTTAACCACTGAGCCATCCCTCTAGCCCCTGGGCATTTTTTTTTTTTTTTAAAGAAACGGGCGTAGAGCTCATTGATTTTGGTTGGGCTGGGTGGCCAACAAGCTCCGGGAACCTACCTGTTTCTGCCTCCTCAGGACTGGGATTACAGGCATGGTGTGCTGCCCAGCCCTGCTTCCCCTGTGGGTGCTGGGTATCCAAACTCACATCCTCCTGCTTACACACCACCCACTGAGCCGTCTCCTCAGGCGCTGTTTGATGTCTTGTTCTTCAGTGTTTTGACAAGGTCTCTCTACCGGCTCAGGCTGGCCTCTAATTTAAGTCCTCCTGTCTGAGCCCTCCAAATACTGAGGTTAGTTATGTACAACCATACCTGGTTCTAGTGAATATTTTTTATGTAGTCTCAAGGTAACATCAAATCTTGGTCATAGCACTGATGACCAAGCATAAAAGTACATCCTTGGATACAGTTAATCTTTGGTTTTGTTTTTTTTGTTCCACATCATCAAGTTCAACTACTTGCTAAAATTAATTTGTAATACTTCATTAGTTACTTCTTTTTTCTTTGACGAAATGCCTGACAGAAGCTAACTTACAGCAGGGAGGATTTATTGGGACTCATGGTTTTGGGGGCTGTAATCTGTCACAGTGGAGAAAGGATGCAGTGCAGGAATGTGAAATAGGGAGCGGCCTGGCTCCCCGTGGGCTAGGTCCACTGTCCAGATCCCAGGGGCCATGGATGTCAGGAACTGCATTGGTGGCCTCTGTAAGAGCAGTACACTCTTAACCACTGAGCGATCTCTCCAGCCCCTGTAATGAGTCTTTCTCTTCCCACCAGCCAGCTCCCAAATAACAACATGGAGAATTACTAATTATGAAGGCTTGGTCTTAGCTTAGGCTTGTTTCTAATTAGCTCTTATAAGTTAAATTAATCCATTTCTATTAATCTATGTGCTGCTGTGTGCTTCATGGCTTTTATCTCTCCTCCTGCGTGTCCTGCTTCCTCTGTATATGGCTGGTGACTTCCCTTTTCTTCTTCCCAGAGCTCTCTCTGTCCCACCTATACCTCCTGCCTAGCTATTGGTCATTTTTCTTTTTATTAAAGCAATCACAACGACATATCTTTACATAGTGTAATCAAATACCTCGCAACAAGCCCCTGATCCCTCCTGTCTCTGTCTTTAGGAGTGCTTTCCTTTCTCTTGTACATTGAAGGGCTGTCTTTTACAACCCTGGCTGTGCTAAAGATAGATACATCCTTTGTCACATGTATAAAGAGTGGGCCTTTATTCTGGATTGTGTAGATTGTGTGGGAGGAGATACAGCATTTGAGATAATTAAAGTATGTACCACTTTAACATTTTCTTCTTTTAGGAAAAAATGGAAAATTGGCTAGTGTCTATTAAAATTGCTTTAGATAAGAGGGCTCAGAAGACCAACGTATCCATAAACAATGAAAATTTGCTGAAGATATTTAGTATGGGATCAGAACTAACAAAACCATTTGAATATCTTCTTGCTACTGGGAATCTGCGTTCAAAAACAGGTAAAATGAAACAGATAGGCCATATTTATGTTTTTCAAATAATATGCATAATATAATAAAAGTATGTTGCTGCAGAATTCCAGAGTAAGCTCACCTTCACTGAAGTCAGATTTTATGTTATAGTAAATTTTGACAAATGTCTGCCGACCCAAAGGGTTCAGCAAGGTGTCTTGTTTCTGTAAATCCAGTGCTAGTGAACAAATGCATTCTGTGACTCCTAGAAAGTGGATGACTACATATATCTGGGGCGAGCTTACCAGCTGCAGTCTGGAAGGTTTGGATTTGTGCCCCTCCCTAAACCACTCGTATTGGAATGAACAATTGGAATGAAAATAAAAAAGACATCTGCGATCCAGAAATCCGCTTTCATTTTTCAGACAGATGCCACTGGTTTCTCTCGTTAGTATGCCAGCGAGTGCTTATGTAACTTCAGGGCTCTCAGACCAATCTCATTCAGTTTTTTCCATTTATCACAACTAATACTAGTGTTGTAAACCTGTGCACCTGCGTGCGTGTGTGTTGGTACTGGGGAATTGAACCCAGGGCCCATTTATATAGTAAGCAAATGCTCTTACCACGGAGCTATATCCCCAGCCCTGAAGTTTTTTTCGTTTTATCAAAACATCAGAAACAGGCAGTTTTGGGTTTTTAAAAAGGACTTTTGCTTGTTTTGAGTGACTCTTTTTTAATTAAGGTCTCGGCTTCCTGCAAGATTCTGGCCTGTGTGTTGTGGCTGACAAGCTGAACTTCATTCGCTATCTCTCCCACTTCCGCTGTGTGCACAGAGGGGCCGACTTTGCCAAGATGAGGACCACCACAGTGCGCAGGCTGCTTCCAGAGTCCTGGGGCTTCCTCTGCCCTGTGCACACCCCAGACGGGGCGCCCTGTGGGCTGCTGAACCACCTGACCGCCGTATGCGAGGTCGTCACGAAGTGTGTGTACACGGCGTCTGTTCCAGCCTTGCTCTGCGGCTTAGGTATGAACACTCAGCAGTGCGGCTGCGTTCCACGGCTTTGAACAGCAGCAGGCAATGGCGTCACCCTTTGGGATTCTGCAGGGAATTCTTTTTCAGTCCTCCATGCATGAGTGGGGCTGCTTTCTTGGCTTCTCTCTCATGCATTCTTTGGAGCTAAAGCAAGTTAAATACCATTGGTGTTGTCCTTTTTTGTAAAAGGAAAAGATAGAAAGAAGTGAAATGGAACGGCCGTTAGTGTTCAGAGTTTAGGTGCTCTTGTGTAGATTTCTGGGCCACTCTCTTGTGCCCTGGTAGATCTTTGCATTTCTAAGGAGAAAACTGTTGGTTTGGGGGAGTTCAGTTAAAGAGTAGCTTATGCAGTAAAGCTGATGTCATAGGTCAGTGACATTGGTTCCTGGTAGCTTGCAGCCACTGTCTCCGCTTTGCGGGAAAACCCAGTCATTGTTCTAGGCTTGGGAGTTGGTTTGAGTTTACTTTCACAGTTAAAGGTGTCATCCTTTTGTTTGAGTATTTTGTAACAGTTTAGTCCTGGGATTTTCCATTTGTGATTTTAAAACCATAGTATTGTATCTTTCCTGGTGAGTGGGTGAGCTCACCAGTGGATTGAGATTTATGAAATGACCGGTAAGACTCCTCTAAGAGTCAGGTGATAGGTAGGTGCTTCAAGTAACCAGAAGGACATTGAGTCAAGAGTCAAGAACTTGTTATGTAAAATGTTTCACCCAACTGGAAAGTAACCATTAAGGAGGGAACATTAGAGAAAGCAATAAGAAATAGTCAAGATTCAGAGGTATAAGCAATCTGTCCAATTACTGACTGCAAGGCAGAGAATACTTTGTTCTGTCGTTAATTAAAATCAAACCAAGCATAGTGGCACACACCTGTAACCCTAGCACTTGGGTGGTATAGGAAGTTTGAGGTCAGCCGGGGTTACAGGAGACCCTGTCTCAAAGTTCAGAAGGAAACAGAAAAAGCTAGAGAGGTGGACAGTGCATCCCATTGTGGAGGAAGAGATGGCTCTGAGGAAGAGGGCCGAATAAAAGACACGAGCCCTGGCGAGCTGGTGTGGGTGACAGATGAAGCAGTGAGTGGTGACCTTTGACACTTGGGGAAATACTGACTGTTTTCACGTGGCAGTTGTAATGTGTGCAGATGTCGTTTTCACTGAATGGCTTGGTTCTCGTTGTTTGCAGCCCTGTATTGCATTAACTGGCAGCGCCGTTAGCCTGTACTGAGCCATTGCTTGGGGGGAGTCGGGGGTTAGGGCTCAAGTCTAAGCCAGCAGCCTCAGCTTCTCTAACTTTCTCTGAGGCCTGTGACAGCCTCTTTGCACTTAGAGACACTGGGCAGCACTCAGCACAAAGTGTTTGCATGGCCTTGAACAGACGTTGAAAGATTTGCAGTTGGAGCATGGGGACAAGATGGCAGGGTGTGTGCACCAAGAAACATTCCTGCTGTGTGACTTTGCAGGTGCCTGTGGTATAATTTTGTGGTTACAAATAAAATGTTCAAGCAGGCAAATGGCAAAATGGCAAAAGTCTGCAGATAAGGAGGGTTGACAATAATTAGATTTTTCTTGGGAAAGGGTATTCAGGGTGCAGGAGTTAGGAATCGACAAATGAAAAGGCATTCTGTGCAAAGGCTCCCTTGTGCCTAGCCGTCCTCTCCCAGGATGTGTGTCCTTGATGAAGCAGTTTACATGTTTACAGCAGTATGAAAGCACTGTGTCGGAGGATAGAGCAGTTGGGTAGCCAGACTAAGAATGCATTGAGTGCCTCCAGGCGCCGGAAACGCTGGGTGAAACCTTCTGATGTTACTATTCTTCTGTCCCCTCCCCAGGAGTCACTCCTATCGACGCGGCACCTTGTCGGCCCTACAGTGACTGCTACCCTGTCCTGCTGGATGGCGTCATGGTGGGCTGGGTGGACAAGGAGCTTGCTCCTGATGTTGCAGATGCTCTCCGTCGCTTTAAGGTGATCTTGGGTCTCCGTGGGTGGTCTCACTTCTCTCCTCACCTTTAGTTTGCAGTCCTTTCCTAGTTGATGCGGTGTCCCGCATCAAGTGGTCAAGCAGTCGGGATTGAAGCTAATTCCAGGGGGCAGTGACAGTCACATGACCTCTGAGCATTTCCTGGTCTGCTTATCGATCCAGTTGGACTTCATAGGCGCGCCACCAGCTGGTCCCTGTCTGCTTCCCAGCCGAGCGAGCATCTACCAACCTGAACCTCTTAGGTTCGTCGCTGGATAGTTAGCTTTTCAGGGGAAATCTGTGGAGAGAGTTAAGCTGTGGGATGGCCCCTCCCTTTCCTCGTTTAACTTAACTTCGTCCACTGGTTGATGATTCTCTGCTGAGTTATTACTGCTCCCTTGGTTATTCTTCGCTAGCTAAATTGATTGTGACTGTGGTAGTTGCCCTGCCTCGCTCTGTAGTCCCCACAGGCCTCAGCCATCCTCCTGCATCAGTTCCCCAGGCAGCTAGGATTACAGCCTATACTCCTAGCCCAGCCAGAGTTCTTTTTTTTTTTTTTTAATTATATAGTGTTCTGCCAGCATGTATGCGTGCCCGCCAGAAGAGGGCACCAGATCTCATTTTAGATGGTTTCTGGGAATTGAACTCAGGACCTCTGGCAGAGCAGCCAGTGCCCTTTAACCTCTGAGCCATCTCTCCAGCCCCTGTCTCTCAGCTCCTGTCAGAATTCTTTATTCTACTCTTGCTAAGCTTGCTGCCTCCACTGAAGTCTGTTTTGGTGAGCTGAATTTTTTTTTAAAGACAGGGTTTCTCTGTGTAACAGTCCTGGCTGTCCTGTAACTTCATTTGTAGACCAGGCTGGCCTCGGGAACTCACAGAGATCCTCCTGCCTCTGCCTCCTGAGTGCTGGGATTAAAGGTCTGCACCACCCACCACCCAGTTTGGTGAACTGAATATTTTTATCTTTGTTTTAAGAGCCAATGGTTTTAAATTTTTTCTTTCTGCATTTTGGCTTTCTTTTATCCATTCTCTATTAGCATGAATGTTAATTCGGTTTGGGGGCTGGTGAGATGTCTCATCCTGTACAAGCACTTGCTGTCAGGCTTAGTGACCTGAATTCAATCCCCCAGATCCCTCATGGTCACAGGAAAGAGCTGACTTCTGAGGCTCATCCTCTGCTCCACACTCTGGCACTCATGGACCTGTACACATGCATACAGTGAATCAGTTAACCATGAATTCAAGGGCTGGAGAGAGGGTTCAGTGGTTAAGAGCACTTGCTGCTTGCTCTTCAAGAGGAACCAAGTTCAATTCCCAGCACCCATGTGGTAGTTCACAATTGTCTGTAACTCCAGTTCTGGGAGATCCGATTCCTTCCTCTGAACTCCATGGACACCAGGCAAATACAGAGTACATATACATACATGCAGGCAAAACACTCATACACATAAAATAAAATAAATAAATCTTTAAAAAGTAAGCAAAGAATTCAGTTTGGTGCAGACGTGGTGGTTTACACCTGTAATCCGAGGCAAATGAGGGGCTTCACAGAGGAATAGCCATCACCTTTAGTTTGGCTTTCACTCTTGTCTCCCTCTGAGGGGCCTTTTTTGGTGTCTGTGTGCTGTGGCTGGGTTAACTGAGGTTGAAGAGTCCATGGCAGGTTTCAGAACTCAGTGCTGCTGCGACGTCGGGAAGGCTGTCCCTTTTAATTGTCATTTCCTGGTTCTCCCCCCCTTCCATTTTTACTGATAATGTGGTGAGATGTGAATCCCTTAAGTGCGTATAGGTTTTATAATCTTTTTTAGATTATCGTAGTTTGGGTTTGTATTTTTCCCTTCACTTAGGAATTTTTCAAATTAGTTTTACGATTTCTTTTTATGCATGCATGCAGTGCTTGTGAGGGCCACAGGAGGGCGCCAGACCCCTGGGGGTGGAGTTCTGACAGGCTAAGCCACCTGGCCTAGATGCTAGGACCTGAACCCGGCTTCTGTGAGAGCAGGAAGTGCTCTTAACCACCAAACCATTTCTCTGGCCGTTTTGGTTTTTGTGTTTTATGATTTTTTTAAAAAAAGAATAATTACGTGCATATGTTCATGTCAGTATTTGGGCATACACATGTGAGTACCGTGCCTGCTGCATGTACTCTTAGTATGTAGCCGTCTCAGCAACCCCATTTTGTTTTGTTTTTAATTTTCAAATGCAAGACCCTTTCAATGTAATTGTTTGAAAGGAAATTCATTGATCCATATTGCAGACATCAGAGAATAAGCTTGCCTTTTCTTAATCTTTTGCCATTTCTTGTGTGGGCTGAGTGAGCTTGTATGTGGGGTGAGACTGAGATGGACAGCTGTGGCCTTGGGGCACTAGGTTTATTACTAGGATGATGTAATTTCTTTTTTTTTCCTGTTTTTTTTTTGGGGGGGGCGGGGGGGTTTTTTTTTTCAAGACAGGGTTTCTCTGTGTAGCTTTGGAGCTTTTCCTGGATCTCACTCTGTAGACCAGGCTGGCCTTGAACTCACAGAGATCCACCTGGCTCTGCCTCCCGAGTGCTGGGATTAAAGGCGTGCGCCACCACCGCCCAGCCAGATGATGTAATTTCTTAGATGCTTTTCCTTTCCCACTCTATCTGGCTCTGGCGGCAGGGAGGGTGGGATGAAACATACATTTGTCCTTAATTAAACTATGTTCTGTCAAAACAGGTGTTGAGAGAAAAAAGAATTCCTCCTTGGATGGAGGTGGTCCTGGTCCCCATGACAGGAAAACCAAGCCTGTACCCAGGGCTGTTCCTCTTCACCACCCCCTGCAGGCTGGTGAGGCCTGTGCAGAACTTAGAACTGGGTAAAGAAGAACTCATTGGAACTATGGAACAGGTGGGTTCCTGCTGGAGTGTGCGCTCATGTAGAACAGTTTTCAGGGGCTCAGCTTTCACTCTTAAAAGCATTTGGAAGGAAATCCAGCTTATTTTCCTGGCCCTCTTTGTCCAGCACTAAGTAGTCTGGATGTCTTGCCACCCTGCAGGAAACCTGAGGGAGGCCTGGTGCTCACAGAACCGCCCTTCCTGCCTGGTGTTCACGGTTCCTTTGCACCTGGCTCTGCCCCAGTTGGTGAGACCGAGGCATCTCTGACTTAGTCTCAGTTGTCATCCTACATCTTTGCCGCTGCCAAACTGGAGTTTGTGCCGAATTTAAATTTTTATTTTAAAAAAATACAAGCGTGGTGGTGCACGCCTTTAATCCCAGCACTAAGGAGGCAGAGGCAGGCAGATCTCTGAGTTTGAGGCCAGCCTGATCTACAGAGTGAGTTATAGGATAGCCAGGACTACACAGAGAAAGCCTATCCAAAATAAATAAATATTTGTCTTCCTTTTCGGCCCTTCACAATTGGACGGGGTAGGACGAGCCACCTAAGGGGAAAGTGCTGGGGTGCTTAGCACACACTGTCCCGGGGTCCAACGCCAGCTCCACCACAACAGTAGCAATTCGGCATTCATGATCGGGGTGAGGAAAGTACTCTGCAGCCTTGAGCGCTAACCCCTGGAAAGCAGCGAGACAGCCACAGTTACTTTGTGCATCTGCCCCCCTTACCCTTCCTCTGCTCCAGCTCTTCATGAACGTGGCCATTTTTGAGGATGAGGTTTTTGCTGGAACTTACACACACCAGGAGCTCTTCCCTCACAGCCTGCTGAGTGTGATCGCCAACTTCATTCCCTTCTCCGATCATAACCAGAGTCCTCGGAACATGTACCAGTGCCAGATGGGTAAGGTGGGTGGAGGTGGTGGTTGTGTACACACACACACACACACACACACACACACACACACACACACACACACACAAAGCGCGTGTAAGTTAGACTGAAGTAATCTGAGAAGTTTCAAGAATAGCATAAAGAATGCCCACAGATAGGTCATCTATCCCATTAACAACATTCTGCCCAGTTCATACTTTTGCTTGTTCACTTGAAAATTGCAGGCACAGTGCCCTTTCCCACACATCAGTGCATATTCCCAACCACTAGACCTCTTAGTCAGGGATAGTTATCAAAATCAGGAAGTTGAGCATTGACTTCCTCATAAGAAATGTTTTACTTTGAATTACGTGTATGTGTGTCTTTGTGTGAGTACTGCGTGCATGTGCAGGTGTCTGCAGAGGCTGGGCATTGGGTCGTCTGGAGCTGGAGTGACAGTCAGTTGGGAGCCACCTGACGTGGGTGCTGAACTTCGCTCGTCTGCAGAAGCAGTGTCTGCAGGAGCAGCACACACTCCATGTTTTAGCCCTTTCTTGATTTGGAGCGAGGCGGAGAACCAGGCCCGTCAGGATCACTGGGGTTCCGCAGTGCATGTATCTGTCTCCTTTGACGCAGCGGAACTCTTAAGCTTGTTGGTGCCGTTCTTGACATTTACATTTCCAGAGAAATGGCTTGAGTTTGTCCGAACCTCATGACTTGACTTTTGAGGGGTTCAAACCATTGCCGTCCCTCACACACTATCACTTTCAGTGCTTTTGATTTCTACCTGACATGAAAACGTCAGCATCTGATGTTCTCTTTATCGCCACAACCTTCCTTGAGCTGGTCTTGAATTCAGTGCCCTCCAGGGCTGGAAGGATGGCTCAATAGTTAGGAGCGTTGGCTGCTCTTCCAGAGGTCCTGAGTTCAACTCCTAGCACCCTTATGGTGGCTCACAACCATCTGTAACTGTCTGTATTCCCACGGGATCTGATTCCCTCTTCTGGTGTACATGTGTACATGCAGACATTATCCTCAGGCCTCAGCCTGTTGAGTACTAGGATTGTGGGTGTACACACCCCAGATCCTTTTAGCATTTTTGTTTGTTTGTTTATAGTACAGGTTACTGACTACAAATTCTCTTGTACTCATTCTGCAAATTTTTTTTTCATTATTCTGAAATTTCTTTTTCACACTCACTTGAAGGAAGCCTTATTATACCAGCTGTATAATCCTGAGTGGACAGGCCCTTTTATTTCAGTGTGTTAAAGTTGCTCCACTGTCTCCTTTTAGTCATTCCTGCTAACTAGAAGGCAGGGCTTGTAAAGTACAGTTTCCCTGTATTGCTGTTGTCCCTGTCTTTAAGACTTGTCCTTTATTTTTGTTTTTAGGAGATTGGCTGGATGTCTAGATATGATTCTCTTTGTCTTCTGATTACATTTACTGGTCTTTAAAAAAAAAAAAATGATCTACTTTGGAGCATTTTCCACTGCTTCCAAAACGTTGCTTCTTCTCTTTATTTCTCCTCTTCCAAGATTTAGTCATTGTTTGTAAAAACATTTAGTTATGTTTTTATCGTGTGTGTGTGTGTGTGTGTGTGTGTGTGTGTGTGTGTGTGTGTGTACATGTTACAACATGAGGGTGGAGGTCAGAGGACAACTTCGTGGAGTTGGTTCTCTTCTCCTGTCTTTATGCTGGTTCTGGGGATTGAACTCAGGCTGCCAGGCTTGCAGTCAATGCCTTGACCCACTGAGCCATCTTGTCAGCCCGTATGCATCATTTATCTTAACTATTTTTATTGTCCTTTCTTTTTCTTCTATGTAGGTATGTGTTTGTGGTGGTTTGAATGAAAATGGCCCCCATGGGCTCATAGAGAGTGGCATTATTTGAAAAGATTAAGAGGTATGGCCTTGTTGGAGGAACTATGTCAATGCAGGCAGGCTTTGAAGTTTCAGAAGCTCAAATCAGCCCTAGTATCTCTCTCTCTCTCTGTTCCTGCTGCCTGGGAATTTAGATGTAGGACTCTCAACTCCTTCTCCAGCACCAGTCTGCCTGGGTGCCTTCATGATTCTTACAATGATAATAACAGACTAACCCTTTGAAATTGCAAGCCATCCCCACTTAAATGTTTTCCTTTATAAGCATTACCGTGGTCAGGGGCTGGATATATGGCTTAGTGGTTTAGAGCACTGACTGCTCTTCTAGAGGTCTTGAGTCCAATTCCTAGCAACCACATGGTGGCTCACAACCATCTGTAGTGGGATCTGATGCCTTCTTCTGGTGTAAAGGTGTACATGCAGATAGAGCATTCATATATACACAAAGTGAATAAATCTTTAAAAAAAAATTGCCATGGTCATGGTGTCTCTTCATAGCAATAGAAACCCTAACTAGGGGGAATGAAAAGATGGCTCAGTGGTTAAGAGCACTGGCTGCTCCTCCAGAGGACCTGGGTTCAATTCCCAGCACCCACATGGCAGCTCACAACTGTCTGTAACCCCTGTTCCAGGGGATCTAACAACCTCACACAGACATACATGCAGGCAAAACACCAACGTACATAAAATACAAATAAATACATTAAAAAAGAAGATACCCTAACTAAGACTGTGTGTGTGTGTGTGTGTGTGTGTGTGTGTGTGTGTGTGTGTCTTATTAATTTGATACCTTACATTCTGTTACGCAGAGTTTAGAAACATTGGCATTTCTGTGTGTATCTCCAGTGTGCTATACTTGTATGATTTCTGTGTGTATC